CCCCAAAACCCCAAAACCCCAAAACCCCTAGACTCAACATTTTGTCAATTTTTTTATCCAAATGAAAAAGTAAATGCGTTTATTTTATCTTTAGTATTCAGATGATTTTAGCTACTTTCACCAATTGTAACTTCTTACTACTCTATTAATCTTGCTAAGTGAGATTACTTTGGCGATAAGTCAGTCAGACTAAATTCTTGAACAACATTAGTCTGAATTAACTTTTCCTGCCTTTCTTCAATTACTATTTGCTGATCTGTTACTAAGTCATCATCTTCTTTACTATTAAACTCTTCTTACTCTTGAATATCAGACAGTTGATTTTAATCAAGTATGAAGGGAGGTGAATAATTATTGTCATGCTCTCGTAATATACTTTGCAACGGATGATCATAATCTTAGTCAAGATCTTCATTTTCAATTATTACCGAGCACTCAGCATTTTATAGATATGGGAAAGTTTTTTGAATATCATTATAGCTTACATCGTTCTAGCTTCTTTATTACATGAACTGCACAGCGAGATAAATTGAGTCAGTCCATTTCTTTGCCTCGTTTATAGCGACGCATATTCTGAATTCCAAATCATCAATATTGTCCTAAATGCAGGAGTTAATTTGATTTTATCGAGATTTTATGATTTCTTAATCTTCCTTTGCTTGATCTTTCAAAACCAATTATTCCTCTAAATTTGACCTGAGCTATTCTTCATTCAATAACTACTCTCTCTTACTTTCTCTTTTAGATTCCTTTTTTATAATTGATTACTTCGCATTATCGTGAGATTTTTCTAACTACATAAAAAGATAATGATAGGAATTATGCTTATTTGTCATACTTTGCTAAGGAAATCTTTGCAGTTCACCCAAAAATGCTGATTGCTCGCAAACAATTTCTTTTTTAAAAATCCCTCTTTAAAAAGTTGATCATTCAAACTCCTGACTTTATTGAGATCTATGAATGTCAATATTTTATCGAAACTAACCATACTGCCTTGCACGGGCCCAATCTTCTACCTCCTTAAGAGTAACTATGTTATCCTATAAATATTGAATTTGTAATTAAAGTACCTTTTCTACATAAAAACTAAGCAACTCATGTTTTTATACTTCTGGTTTACTAGCCATTGTTCCGCTGTAAATTCAATTTTACTTAATAAAATTTAAATCAATAATAATTATTATTATCATAAATATGTTTTTATCAAAGTTATTTGCTCGATAACTAAACCTATAAACAATTTAGAAGAGCAATCTACCTAGCAGAGCCTTTTCAAGAGCAGATATCAAGAAGACCCTTGATCCCAAGCAGATTGGTAGAAGAGATTTCCTTCACAATGAAATTACAAATAACCCAGAGTTTTTCAAAGCTTACCCTCACTATCAAGCAATATTTGGAATCAGTGAAGATGGCCAAGAAATAAATGAAATGAATCAATACAATCATGAGATCCTCACCAATTTAAAGGACGGAGCATCAAAAGAAGTCCCATTCTTTAACAGTTTATTGTAAGCCTATCAATCAAATTTCAGTCCATAATTATTATATAGACATCAGCAAAATCACTATCTAGCCACTGAGGACAAGGAAGAGATTATTAGAGATAATGAAAAGCATTTCGTTGAGTCTTACGAGTCTCCAGTAGGACCACTTAAGTACATGAATAGAAAGGAAATCATCAAGATTCATTAAATTATTGATAAGAAAATGCAGGAGCTAGAGGATTCTGGTCTTACTAGAGATGAAATCCTATATGATAGACAGGTATTAACATTTGATATTTTTAACTCACTTTTGTAATAGACTGGCATTCCATTGGCAGATGATCCATTCTTCTAGTTTGTTAAAAACAGTAAAGCTGCTAGAGAGATGCTAATCAAGCCGAACGAGGAATTCACAGCAGAGAGAGTGATTGAGAAAGCACTAAGATAGGATATTGGACCTGACCCGACTCTTGCCTTAAACAGAGTTGACTATCAATTTGAGGACAAGAATAATTTGATGTTCCATGAGCATGAGTATAAAAAGAAGTATAGAGATAAGGACCCAGCACTAAACCCAGAGGCCTATTTTTATGATAACAAATTACTAGAAAGAAGAAAGAGAGAAATTGACTTTAGTTGTAAGTATATATTTGCTTTTAATTCACTTAATAACTTAGAGGAAAAGCCAGCTACCTTCATTAATAGACCTTTATCTAGATCTCAACTGAGAAGGAAGCTAATGAGAAATTTGAGAAAGAAAGACATTGACTGGAAAGACACTCCACTCCTTGTTAAATTCTTGAACAGCACAGGAAAGATCATGAATAGGTTTTAAACAAGACTCAAAACAAGTGTGCAAAGAAAGCTTGCCAAAACAATTAAGAAAATTAGGGACCTCAATCTAATATCTCATGTAGGACTTATAAAGCCTACAGATAAAATTCCAATGGGATCATTCATGGAAGATCTCGAGGAAATGCACAAAAAAACAATTGATCCAGTGACTGGTAGACTGTTCTTGAAACATTCGCTATAGGATGACTTGCCCACGAAGGAAAAGAGAGTGAAGGAAATTCTTGAAGACAGATTCTCTCATGTAGAAAACATACAGGACTTTAATGCTGATGAGAAGTCATAAGCAAGAGCTTAAGTCATCAGAGAAATGACTCTTGATGATGAGAAGCTTATTCCAAACAGGAAGCAGAGAAATTGGTTGGCTGCTTAAGCTCATATCCTTGAGAAGGAAGGAATATTGGTAATTCAATAATCATGCCTAATTTTGTTAATCAGGACGAAAGAGAGAAAGAAGCTTATATTAGTGGAGTCAATTTTGTAAGACCTAATGTTTAGCATATGGGAGCAAAAGAAGCATATGAAGAGACTTATGAGCAATTGAAGAAGTTAGATCCAACTCCAGGCAGCATGTTTGAAATGTTTATCGCTGAGAAGTCCTTGAACATCAATAGAGTAATCAATACTTATTTTTTAACATCTTCTAATTAGATTGATGAGTTTCATGCTGAGAGAGGTCTAAAAGTACTTCATTAAAAAGCTGAGTATGCCACTCTACAGCAAGATGAAAGCGATAAAGAAATAAGATCAAGAATATAAAAGATAATGGCAGAATACGCTGACCCAAGTTTTAACAAGGTTTACAAGCACGAGAACGAACTTACTTAAAAATGGGACATTAGATCAAAAGAGAGAAGAACGGCAAATTAATGAGTTAAGATTAACTATTGTATCTGATTGTCACCAGCCCATTACACTTTATTTAATCAAACTCTAATAATTAGCATTTCCAATTCACTCATTATCATACATGAGGGGTTTTGGGGTTTTGGGGTTTTGGGG